GCTAATAGGTGGCGGCGCGTATTATGTCGAGGGACAGGAGGGTCAGGATACCAATATTGACATTGGTCAATATCCTGTAGCTACGCCACTGGTCACCTCGGTGTGCCCTCGCACGCGCGTCCGACATGGGAGCGAGCGAAACGGAAAACGATCGTGGAAAGGTGCGAGCGAGAGGCACGTGGGGAAGGACGATCTACGAGTAACCGGAAAAGAGAAAGAAATAAAGAAAGAGAGAGAGAGAGAGAGAAGGGAGGGGAAGGGTGAGAAAGAAAGAGAGAGAAGGTAACGACTGGCAGGCACGAATTTAGGCGTGGGACGGAGGAACGGCGTGTGGTGGATGAGGGGCCCTTTCGCTCTCGACGCAAAGCAAGACGCGTGAACCGGGTGTGTTTCCTTGCGACCGAACATTTCTGCCCCTCTCCCACCCTTGAATGAGCACACCGGGGCAGCGAGAAACCTTCGACGAGGAATCCGACCAGGTCTCGTCGTCGCCTGTAATTTACGAGCGATGTATCTATGGATACGAATATTTCGGATGACGCTCGTCGGAGGACGCTCGCTCGAACGAGATTGTTACAGCCGGGTCGTTTAGCGTGCTTAATAACGGGTTAATCGTTCTCGTCCCGATCGTAGGCCCGTATCTTTGGTAATTCGATCGTCGGCTCGAGCTTTTGCACAATCGACGGGAATCGACGCGCCGGCGGTATTTACAAAGCGCCATATCTGGATATCGCGCGGGGAGGGGGGGGGATCGATGTCGATACATCGTCTCAAAATGACGGGTCATGGAAAGGGTCGCGCAGGGTGTGCGCAGTTAATTTTATATCAAACCGACCGCACGGACACGCCTGTGTAATAATCCGCGGCACGAGGCAACGCCACGTAGCCGCTCTCCGCTAAGCTACCGCTCGAGGAGACATTCGACGACGACGATGATGATGATGATGACGATTGTCCGAAGTGCGCATTCCCGTACACGCATACGTATCATTCTAAACATCCGTGACACGTAACGAGGTCTCGGAGCAGCGGCTCGGCGTTGATCGGCGAGTACACCAAGCTTACGCTTCGAGCGTAATCACCGTTGTCGGACCTATTTTCCGCCGCGCAGTTTCGTTTCAGATAGAGAGAGAAAGAGAGAAATTCCGAATAACGTTGAAATGACGGTTGATATGCAGGTAATTAATAACAGCAGCAAGAAGTAATGATTCGTGTCGTCGAGCAGCGAACAATGGAAATTATTTGATAGTCTCTCTCTCTTTTCCTTCGTTCCTCGTCTCGCGGTCTTTTCTCCATCACGCGTCTACGCAAATCCCGTCCGAATGAGCGTTCAAACGCGAAATCCCGTTTCGACGTTCTCGATCTCGGCATCTCCATCTTATGGACCGGCTGAGAGGAGATACCTTCAGAATGTATTAACGGAACGTGAGCGCGTCCGTACACGCGGTACATTTTTCTCACCGTGTGTACACACGTGAAACGGTATAAATCTGGAACGTCTGTTTGTCCCGAGTTTCGAGTGTCGCACCGCCGAAACAGCAGAAACTCACGTGTCTATCGCGAGCGACGTATCGACCGTGTCAGCCAAGTTTACGTCGAATTTCAAGTATCGATGACATAAGACGTCGTGCCTGCTCGATAATGATTGTCTTCGCAGGGATGCTGATTTTATGAAGAAAATGTGTCGTGAATATATCTCGAATTAACAATTAAATGTACGTCAAGCGATAATGTAAGTTTTTTCTTACATCGCTCGCAACTAATTAACTGAAAGTTATACTGAGACTTTCACATTGCATCTTACGTGTCATGTTTGTTTTAGCTGAACTAGTGCTGAACTACTGGAACTTCGTTCCTTTTCCCCTCAACGCTAGATTATACACTTGTCTCAGTCTAAAAGGCAAAAAGTGTATTCTAGTTCGGCTCGAAACGAGCGCACCTGTTGTGTTCCGAGCAAATTCTGATAATTTTTTTTGCGCTTCTTTCGTACTTTTCTCTCGTCATAACATGCGACAAATGAGAGTGCCGGCCCGAACTATTCACGAGAGATGCGACCTTCATGAGTTCGCCTGGTGAAGTTGCTGTCAAATTACATAAACCTGCCTCTCTATCCAGGTGTACGAAGTCTCACGTAGCCCACGAGGCAACACGCGCAACGCACGTGCGCGAATCAGACTACGTGGACGACGCGGGGAAGATTGGGAGTCGCGCGAGAGGTGGCTAGTCGCAAGCTCCAGGGGATCGAGAAGAAAAATCGATGGGATCATCGCACGCGGAAGGTGCGCGCGAACGCGTCGATTCGGTAGCGGAACGCGGATTACCGCGCGAGAAGAGCTCCCGCTCGCCGCGACGACGTTGTCCCCGAGAGTTCGCGCGCGCGAAGCTGTCCTATAGCCGACTCGCGAGAGCGTACCTACGCTCGTCGTATAGGCGACGAGTCATCGGGAGAGACGTATCGACACAGACACGCATACCTGCCTGCCCCGCCGGTGCATAAGTTCTCTGGAGGGCACACATGTAGAAACGCTACATGCGGCCAGCCAGGTTTGGTAGTAGGGGTCTGTGTACGTCCCGGTAGCGACAACACACAGCGGCGTCGGGAGCAGCCGACAACGGAAGACGGAGGACGACGCCGTGGCGGAAAGAGCCGGCGGACAAAGAGAGACGGAGAGAAACCCGCTGAGAGGGTGAGAGAGCGGGAGGGGGCAGCGAAAGAAGGGGTAAGGGAGACGAGGAGAGAAAGAGAGAGAGAGAGAGAAAGGCACAGACAGCGACAGACGTGCCGGTTTCTCGGATCCGAGCAACGCGTACGAGGACGAGAGAGAGCGCGCAAGGCGCGCTGCGGTGGTGTACGATGGATACGAGAGTAAAAGAGAAGGATGGATAGAAAGAGAGAGAGATAGTGAGGTCCTTTCCCTCTATCGTACGGCTCCACCCACACGCCGCCACTGCCGCCGCCGCCGTGAAGGCGCGCAATCTGGCAACAGTGGCTCGCTATAACCGATATTGTGGCCGTGGATTGAATGGAGGGGAACTAGAGCTCAGGTCAAACCGCCCCACCGGCAGCGACAACTCTCCTCTCGGTCGCACGGAGGAGAGCGACCCTTCGCTCGCTCGCTCGCTCGTTCGTTCGTTACCTCTCAACCCCTGCGCGCGTCCGTCTCGTTCTCGCGCACGCCCTTCCACCCTTGCTCCGTCCGTCGCGCTTACTCGCGCTCCTTCCCCTCGCTCGCGGCGCAGCCGCATCTCTCTTCTCCCTGCGTCTGCACCCTACCAACGCGACGGTGGCGGCGGTGACGGAGCATACGCGTCTGCCGCAACGTACACTGGTCGTCAATGATGCCCGTAGTTCCGGTCTTCCAGGCGCTCTTTCGAGGAAGGAGCCGTCGTGCGGCGGAGATTCGCGTACGACGACTTTCAGTCGAGTGGTGAGGCTTCGACGACGGGAGAATCGTCGCTCGCCGGGGCGAGTACGAGACGCGGACGCGTTTTTCACTCTCGTCGATTCCGCTCAGAACAGCGAGGGCATCATTGTCGTGCCCTGTACACGTGTCGCCGCCGCCGCGCTTCCTTCCCGCCAGATGGCGGCTGAGCATGCACGGGCGTACTCGCGCATGTATGCGTGTCGCGCTGTCCCCACCCGAGGCCGCGGCACACACTCGTCTCCACCGACGATACCCGAGGATACGCTGGCGGAGATCACCACTACAACGGTAACGGTGCTCGTGCCGCGCGTACTACTACTATCTACGTCGTCGTCGGCGAGTTTCACCGTGAGGTGTATACATGCACACACACACACACACCTCGGCACACTTGGTGTGCGTGTCGCGCGCGTACATATGCACCGCGCGGGAGAGACGAGAGATCGTGACGACGAATCAACGCGGGACAAGGACACACGGGCCGGTCGTGCGCGCGACAAGGACGGCTTGAGAGCGCCCTGATGGGAGCGAGAGAGGAAGAGAGAGGGAAAGAGGTACGCGCTGCACGGGAGACGGAGAGAGAGAGAAAGAGAGTGCCGAGAACCGGGGGGGGAAACGCGGGACGGACGACGAACGAGCGAGAGCAACGTCGTCGGTCCCAACAACCTCTCACTAGACAGTATTACTTTCAACCGTTTAGCGGGGCCAATGCTACCTGGCGCGGAGTAGTAGTCACTCAGCCGTCCGGGATATACCGAGAGGACGCTTCTCCTCCCTCCCTCTCTCTCTCTTTCCTTGTTTTTTTTCTTATTATCTCATTCCAGCGTCGCGTGCTTCCGCGTATGCCGCTCGAAGAAAGAGAGAGAGAGAGGAGGGCTTATCTTATCTTATCCGTCGACATACGGAATATGCGTATCCACATCGTCGCGGTAAATAAATCGCTACGGTCCTGGTTGTCGACGACGACGTCGCCGCCGGTGCGTCTCGCCGTCCACGTGCCTCGCGGAGAACGAGAAGCCCACGGCGGCCGCACCGACGCTACGCCCGTGACAGACTGAGGCGCGCGACCGCCGCGGCCGGTGGATATAAATAAAGTTTCCGCGGACGGGAGTACACGTACGTGAGCGAGCGAGCGCGAGAGAAAGAAAGAAAGAAAGAAAGAGGTGAAACGGGCGCGCGCGGCGGTGACTAAGGTGCCGCGGAGGAGCCGGTGGAAGAGGGAGATCGAAGAACGCGGCTGGCACGGCCGTTGTTTCGAGCGAGTTTCTTCCGGCGAACCGATTCGTCGATTCACGTCGATCCGTCCGACGTTCACTCGCTGCTGCGAGCGAGAGAGAGCGTGCATTCGCCCGTCCGTACTTACGCACGGCGAGGAATCCCGCGCCGGAAAAGCGCCGCTCGTCCGCAGCACGCCGGCGAGGACTCGGCACACACAGCCGGTATCGGCCACGGCGGAGGAGTAAGAGAGAATCCCCCCTCTCCGGGCGCGCTGGGTACGGCGTGGCGGGGGGAGCGCGGGGCGGCGCATCGCATTCGAGTCGCACGCGCGTGCAAGACGACCGGTTGTGGCCCGTGGTCGCCTTCAGTCGGCTCGTAGCTTGCGCGGAGCGCGTTGCTCGTGTGTTTCCCACGCTGCTCTCTCTCACACACTTCCGTTCGTCCCGTCTCGCACGTTCCTCTCGCCGTCTACCTCGGCCCGTCTTCTTCGTAGTCTCTCGGTCTCTTCGTCGTCGTTGTGCACATGACGAGGTGATGAACGCCCGGTGGCATCGCAGATGGCTACGCCGAGAAGCGTAGTGACAGTGCCCAGCGTCGTCCTGCCGATGGACGATGACTATTAACGCGGAGGACAGACGCTACGACGACGCTGCGTCCGTACGTGGTTGCGCGCGGGGGAAAACAGTGTGCTCTTCTGTGTGATCATCTCTCTGTGTGTTGCGCCGCCTCCTCGCCGAGTATCACTCTGATTACGTATACACACCATCGGATATACGCGCTCCCGGAAGATCGCAGGCTGCGAAGGCGCGTGTACGCGTCCGCGTGTGTGCATTGTATATATATATGATATATATATACTTGGATTATACGTCGTCTCTCTCTCTCTCTCTGTCTCTATCTATCTATCTCTCGCGGAGAAGACTCTCCACCGTCGCCCAAATTGACCAAGGATAATAACAAAGGACCGTCGTGTTTTTCCAAACAAGGTGAGTGTACCACCAGCTGATCCTCGCCAGAGTCTCCCGCGACTCGGACGGCGATTGTTGTCGCGAGATCCCCCGCAACTTCGGACAAGCGCGTGTCGCCGTTGCACACTCGATTTCGATACTCGGTCTCTCCTCGACGGCATTCCGGGACGCAGCCGACGGGGGAATCTCTCTTTCGACAATTTCCAGAAGACGAGTTCTCCTCTCTCTCTCTCTCTCTCTCGTCGTTGTCCGAAGTGTGTCGGAAAAGAAAGTGCGTCCGAAAAACCGCCTCGAAATTTGTATGTAAACACACGGACGTGGTCGATCCGACGATATAGATTCGCGTCGATTTATCTGTCGAGGGTGTTTTCATTTACACGCGTCTTATTCGAAATCACACCTCAGAATTGGCCGTTCTTTTTCTCTCTCTTCCTCGATGTTTATTCCCGCGTCGGTGTTTCAAAGTGGATCGCTTTCTAAGTGATACACTGAATCTTGCGGGAGCGATCACTCCCCCCTCCACGTTTGTCGTGTTTCTAAACGGGAGAAACGGTTTGTTCGCGAGTGAACGCGACTTCCAGCGACTCTCTCGCTGTGTGTTAATCGATCGAAGATATACCGTTACGACGATCGTGTCGCGAGTGCGACGCGCGCCTCGGTGTTTGAACGCGCCACGCGCAGAGATTAAACTTCGCAAACTGGACTTTATTCCCCGTGTATGTGATCGCGCGTCTGCGAAGTTTCTCTCATTGATCTCTCGAAATTTCCGTGCTATAGATAACGGAAAAAAAAAAAAAAAAAAAAAAGTTGCATCTATAGTCGCGGACGGAGGTGATTTTCGCGCGATCCGCCCCGAGATCTCGATCGCTCTCGGGATTGTCGGCGGTCGGAGATTGACTTTAATCTCCAAGGTTGTTTCGCGAAAAGAAAAAAAAAAGAGACAGAGAAAAAATGACAAAATCAAGAAGAGTCAAGCTCCATCGATTATCGGCCGGTCCTGCCTCACAAAGTTACAAAACATGTAATAATAGACACCTCTGCTATTCTCCGATCCGCGCGCGCGATGCCAAGAGTGACCGATCGCGGAGAATGCGAGTTCGCGTAACGCGCGTAGGAGAGAGACAGGCGTGGAAACGTCGTCGTCGACAGCCACGCGAGAATGCGACTCTCGTAATTCGGCGAAACGAGAGAGAGACCTGCGGTGTATAGCCGCGGTCTATTGATATTTACTACAGCCTGTCTCTCTCTCTCTTTTTCTCTCCGTCTTTTCGTCTATCTCGCTCTCTCGTTGGCGATACGCGCGCCTTGTCTCGCCATCGACGCGAAATCCCGCGCGACTCTCTCGTATCGATCGGCGAGAAAACGCCCGCGATCTCTCGTCTGTGCCGCTCGTTATTACATCGCGGTGCAGTGGATATTCCGACCGGCGTGGCGCGGCTAGGCGCTTTCACAACGGGTGATTGTTCTAAAGATGTGTCATTCCGTCCTGCTCGCGCGCGCCGCTCCGCCGTCGAGCCTGGTTTAGCCGCGGCGGCGAGAAAAAGACGCGAGACACGCGGCGACGAGAGAGAGAAGTGACGGAGAAGGCGAACGAGAGGAGCAGCATCGGCCGAACGGAGGTGAAGGACGGGGGGAAGAAGGATGGTGGTGGCGGGGGAGGAGGCGATCATCCGTCATATAGAGACGCGCGCGCGACTTGAGGAGAAGCAGAAAGTCACGTCCACCCGTAAATCTCCGATGGCTCTCTTTGTAGGTCACATCGCATTACGCTTCTCCTCCTCCACGCGCGTTCGACACCTCCGCCGGGGTCATCGAGACGTCGCGACGCCGTTTATTACGCGGATGTCCCCGCTCGATGATTCCGACCAGCTTCATTCTTCCGTCTCGTCCGCTCCTCCGGCACTCTGACTAACGACAATCGTTATCCTAGGATATTACGTGGGCCGAGTGAAATTAATACCGAGGCGTTAACAGCGATCTTGTAATCCAGGCGCCTGCACTTATCGGCTTGTGTGACGAGCGATTTTTAAATAGATGGAGCGAAAGGATCGTATTTTTTGTTGTTATAGTTTCGTGGAACTATGTACGCGAAGGATAATGGAGAATCGTAGACCGGAACGACGTGCACACCGGGGTCTGCTTTTTTATAGGTGACAGCAAGTCATGCTATCTGTGTGCACTTAAAATGGAACAGATACATATTTAATACCAAGCGAGAGATAAGGAAATAGATTAAAATAGATAAGGGAAGAGGAGATAAGGAAATAGGAATGATCACGAAGTGATGGGTCAGAAAATACAAAGGACTTGTTGTTTCGTAAAATCGTCAATGGCCCTAAATTTGAACCGAGTTATCCAGAATTCTCATGTTTACACGGTAAAGGAAACGAAAAAAATAAAGAAGAAAAAGAGAGAAATGGGAGCAAAGGGAATTCAACTGTTAATAAAATCAGGTTTCGGTTAAAGTTTTTGTTATGGCAGATTCAAATTTAGGAATTGATATAATTAATCGACCGCGGAGGAATATCGAATATCAGCAAATGTGCTAATTCGATTTACAGGTTTGAATATCTTCCATGTGGAGTTTCCTGTGAATTATTTATTGCACAATCTAATACGCCGGTACACGGAAAAAAAAATGGTAGATTCACGTAAATAATTACTCCGATATACTCCGCAGCAAATCTTCACTCGGGTCAAGTTATATTTACTCGCTCCGAGTAGAATATTTTCCAGGTATATTATACAGATATAATATTTACTCGATCCAAGTAAAAATCTGCTACGGAGCATTGGAGTGATTAAATTGCTCGAATCTGGCACCTTTTCCTGTGCATACACGGAAAAAATTAGTCTGAAAAATTAAGAATGGACATTCTCACGTATAAGCGGGGAACATCACAATCTCTTTGGGGAAGCTTTCACGCTTTGATTGAATTGGCATCGATGCGAGTATCGCTTCGACTCGATTCAAGATTAAAAATCTCCCAAGAGGATTATAATATTCTCGCTTATATACGAGAATATCTATTCCTGATTTAAGAATAATTATTTTTTAAATACACATGCGGAGAACGCGAATCACGCGGAGCGCGGGAGACTCGCCGGGTGTCGCGCTCGATCACGCGCGCGATCGATCTTTCCCGCGACTCGCCGAAAACAAACGTCGCAACGTGCCGTGGAATCCCCCCCCCCCTCTCTCGTGCGCGCCTCCTCGAGTCCTCCGCGCGGCACGTGTGTGCGCGCGCGCCCGTATCGATAAAACGCTCTCGTCGCTCCTCGAGAACTCGCTTGCCGCTTCTCGTAATCCGACGTGCGCGACCGTTAATTATTCACTTCGACCAGCCGTTTCTATTTCGCCGACACCGGGATTCGCGCGCGAATTCTAATCGCGTTATACACCTCGCTCGGCGATGTTAATTCGATTTCACCCCGGCCAATCTTGTCGTCGATTTATCCCGAATTTGATATCGCCGAGTGGCAGGTAGGCAGCGGTCGCCGTCAGTGGTGACACTCGAGCGAGCGTTACACTTCCCGACGTTTTCCCGTGAGGGAAAATCACACCCCGCATTCTCGAGCGATGTGTAATTTCACGACTATACACAATGACTTGCAGCGCGCACGGGTCCATTCGGAAAGTCGTAAAACTTCTTTTTACAGTGTGCCTCTCTCTCTCTCTTTCGTGCCGTTCACCTCTCGCTCGTCCCGAGCGTGTCATGCTAATTCCCTCTCTTTCTCTCTCTACCTCCCGATTTGTGACGTATCGCACATGTGCTGCTGAACAACAGCGTTGTTTACGCTCGCCCGAATTCTATCGTCGACAACCGTTGCTCGCGATAACTCGCGTCGCGGAGTTTATCGTGCCGATCACATGACTGCGAATTCGACCTCGTGGCGGCTGGAACTTCCGTATCTCTTTCAACGGCGATAATCACCGCGGCGACATTGTCAACGCTCGTTATCGGTCGCGAAGCGACATGAATGCTCGAAGAAAAAAAAAGGAAAAGCATCGGTTCTTCCGCACTTTCGAATATACCGTCGTATCGGCTGGATATCAGCGAGTGAATTGTCGTCGACAAGCTACGTAGTTATGAGGGAAGAGGGGGGGGGGGATAGAAAGTATTCTTGTTAAAATTATAATCGTCGATTATATCTTCTTGTTTTAGCGGAGAATTAATTGCGCAAAGTAGAATGGTCACGTGTCCCGGAAAGCCCGCTCCGAGTTTCAAGCGGAAATAACTCGGTCGTGTGCGTTACTTGTTGATAAATTGAAAGTGTCGATCAATTGACAGTCAACGTTCAAATTTCTCACAATTTAGATTTAGTTTTATAGTCTTAATTTTTTAGCACCGGTCCCTCATTTTCCGGATAACTTGCAGTTTAGGCTTAACTCGACGATAATGCAAAATTTATGTTCTTCAATTTTTTCCAACGTTATCCGTACGACGCCCAAGTAGGTTGATGAATAAAGTATTATCCTTCTTCTCTGTTTATATTTGTCTGTTGCTCAAATAATTAACCTTTTCTGCGTAGCAGTGTGCGCGTACAATATAAGATCATCATCGTATTACAGTAACGCTTGCTAACAAAAATAGCCCCTTGCCCACGCACTATTATAGTCGCAAATACCAGACACACTTTTTTTTCCCCCCCGCGCGCGGAGAAGATTGAGTCAGAGTAGACGATCAAAAGATTAATCCGTTACTTCCGCAATTGTAAATCGTAAATCCGCCGGCCGAAAATAGCGATCAAAGGTGCGTTCGGCGACGAAGAAAGAAACGCGGTAACTCGATTAAGGAACGCGCATCGCGCGGCGACGGCCTCCGGCGAGAAGAATCCGAGTGATTTACCGGCGCGACTCTCGGAATGATGAAAGCCCACCGCCTTCCCGCGTCCGGAGTATCGCTTATTGACTCTCGCTCGTCACAAAGTATTAGCGGCCATTGAATTCGAAGCGGACGCACGTCCGTGGGCCGGCTGATAATCTCAACAATTTTCAACGCGCAGTAGTCTTCTCC